GCTTGTCAAATCTTTGTGTGCCCAGCCCTTGGAACTTGTCAAAGCTTTCGGTATGTCAGCCTCTGGAGCTTGTTATCAGAGCTGTCTGTATGCTGGCTTCTGGAGCTTGTTGATGGAGCTGTCTTCTGTGCTTTATCAAAGATTATATCAGTTCTCGGATTATGTTGAATAAAAGATAAGATACATTGAAAAATACTGACATTGTTTTCTTTTACAAAAAGATATTTGCCGTAAAACAGAAGTATTATTAATATAATTCTGCATTGGAAACTCTTTAATGAATGAGTATAGCATTCGGGTCATGGACAAGAGGCAGCAAGTACAGCCCAGGACAGGAACACATGGAGAGGACTTGTTCATGATCGTATTTTTCACTCGAAGAGAAGGAATCAAGTTAAGTAAGTCAAGATATCAGAAAATAAGTTCAGAATTATTTCTAATACAAGTTTCTATTCCTTATTTCCGCTGTCCCCAATTGTCACTATCAGCCAAGAGAGTCTTGTGTATTGTAATTCTCACATGTCTCTCAATATGTCTCCCTTACCTGTTAGATAATCAAATATGTACATGTTTAATGGTCAAACACGCATTGGGTAAACATAACTTATTTCGATTAAGTAATCTGGTTGAGTGAAACAAAGCACAGACAGCAAGCTTCAGTGTTTCGATGCTTAATAAAAGTATTGAGCCATCTTGGATATTAAAGTAAAGTGTTCCATGTACAACAAAGCAGGTCCGCCATTACTGAAGTTTCACAGGAATCCAATTTATATTTCCTAAGAAAATCCGAGCACAAAATCATCAAAAAAGAAGAAGATGCAACTTAGTGTTGGGGACGTTACTAGCAGCATCGACCTGGGAGGGGTATAGGTGGTAGATGTACTTTAGATCTGTTTTAAGGATCCCTGTCCCACTGCACATTAGTTTTTCGTACTAATAGAGTAACCTCCCCTTACTTTTGAATATAACTGTAACAAAGGACACGTGCACTATTTCTATTGTGACATCAACCTTTGTTGATGTAGCACATAACAAGATATTATCATGTAGTTGTCCATTATTAAGCGGTAACAGTCCGTTATTTGTTTAATAATGAACTGCTACTGGTCTTATAGCAGTTCATTATTACAGTTATAGCACGGAATTAAGTCCGTGGTTATAGGTAACAAAAACAATTGTAAGAATCAACAAAGTTAAAAAAAAAAGAAAAGAAAATTTCCTGCAACATGGTTTTACCAGATTCATTTATATTTATATGTAAAGTAAGTATAAGGCTACACACAAAACAACACTATCAAACGTATATAGGCGAGTAAACGTTTTTTAGTTTTGTCCTTTCCTTGTTATCGGAAACCTATTTTTTATATTGAGTTCTAGTATTTGCAAAAGGTGTGTCATATGAAGAAACGTGTTTTCGGACTAACCGACCCTTTGTTATGTAAACGATACAAACCGTGTGTGTCATATAGATCGTGACCACGTTACAGTGATAACAATAGGGAAGTATGTACTATGTAGGTTATTTTTATACCAGGTAGTATTTTGTCCTGACGAGTTACACGTATGTAAAGTTAAAGCCGTGCTATCGGTATCGCTAGAACCGTCTTTTCTTTAGATTTATAGCATTCAGGACATTCCTCGAGATTAATTTGGGGATACTTATAATGGGGTGTTCTCAGTTCCCCCACTTTTTAGAGATCAAAGAAAAGTGTTACTATAGGAAGACAATGGCAAACCAATTATTGTCCGTGTCATACTTACCGCACAGGTTATAACTTTCCTGTGTGAAAGTTACCTGTCTGACTTGTAGCTTTTTTGTGTATATGATATGCAAGGTATTTTTTGGATATTTATTTTAGAAATTTTAATAAATTGTGAGGGGTATGAAAAATTAATGAGTAAATAATTTCTAGTAGCAAACATGCATGGAAAAGATATCAAACCAATTGAATATGAATTTTTGAACTGCTGAGATATTAGGTATTGTTAATTCACTATATCTATGAATGGTTTCCCAGACTTAAAAAAATACTTTCATCACTTTCCTATCCGAGGACCAACTTTTGAATACATTTTTTTAATTCTGTGATGTTATATGCAAAAATAAATCGTATGACGGTAAAGTGCTCAAAATAATGAAAAACATATTTGATTAAGTTTCTCAAAACTGTTTCTTGGGTTAAAACAGATCGTATTTCCATATTAGTTTAGCCGAATGTGTAACGTTGTTTACTTTTGAACAGAAGAAGTGAACGGTGCAAGTTCGAATCCACGTTCAGATTAACTTTTTATTTAACATTTAGGCATGCGTTATTTTTCCTTAATTAAGTAATGGAACATTTTATTGATATTTTAATAACATACATATTGATTCATCTTCTATGGAATCATGTCATCAAATGCACACGTGTACAGTACAGCTACACTTTGTAGATAAGAGATCATTTTAAATGATATTTATGAATTGTTTTACCCTCCAACAAATGATGCCGAAATACAAAGCATAGGCTGTGATCACTTCTAGCTCAATGATATAATTAATATTGAAATATCTTGAATTAACATTTGCTATTAAACATTTGAAAGTCTTATATGCTGTATTATTAAATTATACATGATCAGCTTCCAGCTTAGATAGAACACCACCCTACTAGATACAAGGGTTAACCACACCTGTAAAAACATAAGTGTTGTCGATTATTGTATTGCGACAATTGATTGTTTACAGTTGGTTGAAGATTTTAGTATATGAAACTTTTCTAGTTTATTTTCCGATATTCACTGCCCACTCTCGCTTGTGTTAAATTCAAACTTTGTAAATGCAAATATGGTACATGAAACTCAAACTGATTCATGTGAAAAAACAAAAAAGTGGGATAATGAAAAAAAACTTGACTTCTGTGAAAATGTTAATACTGAATTAATGCTTGAAATATATGAAAAACTATGTAATGTCAGAACTGAAAATGTAAACTTATCTTTTATGGATGATACTTTGAAAGAAATATGTGAATGTTTTGTATCATCTGCAAAAACGTCTTTTGGAGTTACATGTATTAAAAACTCTAATAACTCCAGAAAAACTAATGTAAATGTAAACAAGCCTTGGTTTAATCAAGACTGTAAATCTGCTCGACAGAATTATCAGCGAGCAAACAGATTGTACAAGAAATATGGTTCCAGTATTTTTGACGAAGAGTAATATAAAGCGGAGAAAAATTATAAAAAAATGTTAAACAAAAGCATGAAAATGTATAGAACCGAATTGTGTAACAAATTAAAAAATATGCGGTCATCTGACCCAGAAGCATATTGGAAACTTTTTAAACTCGTCAAATAAAAATATGCCATTTGTGTAATACTGAAGTTGGAGATGAATTCCATTATATGTTTAATTGTCCAAATTTTTCAAATGAAAGAAAATTGTATATTCCAAATTATTATAGTAGGCAACCAAACTGTTTAAAATTCCAGCAACTTTTTTCAACAAATAACAAAGTTTTACTAGTTAAAATATGCAAGTATATTAATATAGTAATAGAGAGAGTCCTTTCTCCTGGTTAAAACAGCACGTACTCTATCTTGAATGTACCCATTATATATTTTCTTGATATCACATGTAAATTGTGGTTTAGAAGAATAAAATCTTGTCTTGTTTTGGTAAAAGCACAGGTAAATACTGTCAATACTACTCAGAAACAGACTATAATCCTTCTAACAACATTCTTCCCCCATGTTATTTTAAAAAGTGGGGGAACTGAAAACAAGCCTTTATAATAACTATAATGCTATTTTGTGGTGTTATTTTCTTTCCTGGCCACATTATTAGTATCGTTGTAATGTTTTGTCTTGAGATTTATGACATGTAGGACATGTCTAGCGTTCAATTAGGGAACATTGATATTTTTATGGTTAATTTGTGATTAAATATTACGGGTCAATGTTTATGTTTTGTTGATGACGTCACTTTAACTGTAATGTCACAAGCCGCTAATTAACAGTCCGACAGAACAACAGTATGTGGAACTCATGTGTGACCAGTCTTGTCCAAAAAGCCTTGTCCAATTGTTTTCAATTCACCAGGACACATGTGTGACTGCTATATAAACAAAACACATTATGTCTGTTTCTGTCTATTGATTTTAATTTACCTTTCCGAACTGAGCGAGTCCTGTGTATTGTAATTCTCACATGTCTCTCAATATGTCTCCCCTTACCTGTTAGATAATCAAATATGTACATGTTTAATGGTCAAACCCGCATTGGGTAAAAATAACTTATTTCGATTTAGTAATCTGGTTGAGTGAAACAAAGCACAGCCAGCAAGCTTTAGTGTTTCGATGCTTAATAAAAGTATTGATTATGTATTTGCTATGTTTAATGTTACATTCCGCTAAAAATGTTATTATTAAAAACTTACTGGCTTTTAAAGGAACAGAAGCTGAGTACGAGGTACTGGATAGAGGTAGAAAACATAATTTATCATTATTTATCATATCATTATTATTATTTTGCATTTTTTCTTGTGAAATGACGCTTTCTCTTATTCGTTTTCTCAAAACGAGAGATTTTTATTTTGTGCCGGTCTCGGGATCTAAACAGAATTTAGTCTAAGTCTTAAACTAATTTCACTTTCTTGGACATAAGTCTGTTTTATGGTGCCGGAACCAAATCTCATTTCCAAATACTGTATCAGCAAGCCAGCACAAGTATGTATGTTTTCTACCTGAGATCGCTGTGTACACTGATCGGATCATTAATCGTCACGCATTGCCTAGTTGTAATTTTCTCCTAAATTATCCAAATCGATCCACCCAAATTATTCTGCCATTGAAGAATACATCTTTAAGGCGAGTCACGATACGCTCTGCTGCGTGACGTCATTGTATCGGGCGGAGTGGTAACTATTTATAAAGACATACAAATACCACCAGTGATTTTGGTCACACCTGAGTGGCAGACATCACAAATGAACATTTGACGGTAAGCTTCAATACAACATGGAGCTTTCGATCATTCGACTTATCATTTCGTGGGTTTTGGGAATTATTTCGACCACAGCCATTAAATTCCAAGGAAAATTTGAATGGGATACAGAAGGTAAGTCATTCAAAAGCAGACGACACCAAAATTACCCGGTGTTGGCACCATGTGGGTACCATGAACTGCAAGTGGCATTCTAGAAAATCAACATAGTTCAATGACTTCAATTCTAGACGTTAGCATTAATAATACATTAAGGGTATCGGGGACTACTGTTGTCTTGTCGCACCTCTTTTCTATATACAAAGACTATTTGAGACGGATATCATTACTTTCATCAAACCTATGCTGCTCTAAACTCTACGTTTGCTGTTGGGACTGTTAACATCAAATGTAGGGATATCAATTTTCTGTTTTCATTTCACCATAATTAGTGTGTATACGTACTGCGTTGTACACGTAAAACTTAGTTTTGGGACTGGAATATATGCTGATTGTATTAAATCTACATGCGTTAAGTACATACAATTACGACCTACAGGTCATTATGTATAAATGTACTCGCCCTACCGTGGCAAAGAATGTGAAAATACACCCGTGCCGATTGTATATGTGTCGACCATTTAAAATACTTCCACTCGTTACCCTATTGTGTACTTTACCTATTATGTGGTCACCCCTTTGTATGTGTAGCAGTGACCTCTGGATAAATAAAGATAGCCCTAGACTTAAGGAGAACCTTAACTGGCTACGCCCACACATCAATGTCCCTTTTGTAACGTTAATCTTTTGACCCAAATCTGACCAGGCGATAGTGAGACTTGGTCAATATTGAATAGTTTGAAGAGAAAACTGAAGTATTTCATCCAAGTTGGACTGATTTGCAAGAGAAACCGTTGTTTATTGAGAATTGAAACTTGCAATTGGTCCCTAACCATACAGTCACAATGACGGACCAGGGTAGGGTAGGGCATTCCAGGGGCTTTGGAATCGCCCAACCCAAAGTTTATTAATTTTTTATTTCTAAAACCGTGATATGCGTTTGTTTGTGTATTCGGATCCGCTATTGAATGACAGGTTTGGCTCCAATTTTGTTAATGTTGTATGTTTAAATGAAATATGACATTAGGTATACATGTACAGGCACACAGTGTAAATATGTCCTGGTTTATTTAAATAGTGTTAACTTCTTATAAAAATATTTATTGTATGGCCCGTTAAAAATTTTAACTTAAATTCAAACAACGTACCCAGTTCCCTGGTATTTTTTCCCCGATAGATTATTCCAGTCAATCGACCCATCGCTGCGTAGAGAGTTGTCATTTTCAAATAAAAACAAGTTGAAATCGATTTAATATTAACTATGAAATGTATTATATTTAACAGTTAAGCAATACATAAAGTTAATTGCAATGGTTTTCGGTAGAATATTATATGTTTAATATATGACACTGGTATGACTAATTTTTCATTTTGTTTCACGAGTGCTTATCGCGCGTGAAAACTTAATTAAACTGTCACATGCGAGTGAAAACCAGAACAATGAGCAGTGTGCTGGCATGTTATGTTACTGATGTGTAAAGGAAAGTTAATGATCGTGAAATCATACCGGTTGTAAGATGATCATTATTGTGGTATTATAATATGTAAACAGAAGGTTCGGAAGCTGATGAAAAGCTATTCGTTGCACCTTCAAAATTGCAAGGTATGAATTAGAAGACGCAAACACTAAAGAACGTACCTGTCCTTCAAGTACAAATCTTTACATCAGTTCAGCTTAATAAACAATTATGTTATTTAGCAATCACCCGAACCACTCGTAATGACCTATCAGGGCATTTACAAAGGACTCACTTAGTCTTTGAGTATTAAGTTTTTGGCAATAAAAGGCGTATTTTGTTTCAAAATTTGAATGCCTTATAGAGTTAAATTTAGAGCTTCTTTCGTTTGGCAATTCAGATATTTCGGTTCACTTTAACTTTTTCGTTTATATATATAAGCCATGTACAGCATTTCATCAAATCCAACAATAGATTTTGAACAATGCTGTATGACATTATATATATGTACGTCATGTTGATGCATATTTTCATTGTTATTATGTAATTGTAAATGTTTGACGGGAGGAGGCTGTGATAAGTTGTCATAACGTGTGCCCAATCCCTTGTTCCAATTAATTGGCAATGAAATATGTTTAAAGTAAAGGATTAAATCACCGGACTAAATAATACAATACAGAAGATGATGACGACGACAGCAATACAACATGGCATTATCTATTGGAAATGTGTGATGTACTTTGCCTCCATGTTGTGAGTTCATCAACCTCTGGCCAGTACCCGGATGTTCATTAGATATAAACTGATGACTTCTGCCTCTTTTTCTATGCATGCTTAATCAGGAGTTAAGCGAAAAGGATGTGCTGTTGTTTATATTTTCTCAGTTCTGCACAACAGATAATATAGGAAAGTTATGTTTTGTTTTGTTTCAGAACATGTGACATTAAAAATCAGTGACGAAGGACGCTATAAAAGATCACGTGGTGGCGTTACGTCGTTTCCGGATGTCATGGGGATAAACTTTGACACGGCCAATACGTCTGTCAGCCTATCTCTGAGACGTAACTATGGTTTAGATGAGAACCTGCCTGTCTACGTCATCAAAGAGAACAGCCTAGTCTTACAAACTCTTCCGCTAGTAACGGTAAGATTTACCCCATAGTAAACCCATAGTTACGGTCATATTCAAGCATAGTAACGTTACCATCTACCCAATTATAGCAGAGAGATATACCCCTAGTTACGGTAGATCTAAACCTAGTAACAGTAATATTCAGTTGTAATATTAAGTAAGATGATTCCCTGGCTACGGTCCGATCTAAGTCTTGTAACGGTAAGATTTATTTCTGGTATAGTTAAGATCTACCTATAGTTACGGTGACATCGTATCTACACTACGTGTAACATGTAGTAAAGTTATAATTACGGGCAAATACCCAATGTTGTGACCGAACGGAGGACGGACGGTGACCGAACGATGATCGCTCGCTAGCCAGACGCTAAACGAATGCAGGATGTACAATAAGGCATGTATTAACGTTCGGAACACACAAGGCTCGAACGGCCGCTAAGCGGCCGATAGGACTGTTATCGGCCGATATACGCCGATAAACAGATGACTGGATGGTCGAACGAACAATCGATAAGGCCGATTTATCGTACTATTTGGTCGTACGCTAAATACTTAAATAATTTACTGACATCGGACTCGCCTGCCGGACAACGTGTGTTTTCTTTTGGTAACACGGTTTTCTAAAGAACGCCGTGCTCAAATCCGGGCCAAAAAGAGCGATTCCTATAAGTTGATATAGCTTCTTTCATAATTGTGGTTAAATAAATATAACAGGTATGGTGCGTGAGGTACGCTGAACATTTATTTACATGTCGCATCATTGACACACCCTGAAAAAGGAGATTGATGACCGGGTATGCACTGTACGTGCATTTGGTAGCTCTGTGTCGAAAACTAGTACATGTACCTATACGCTCACTGTCGTATCAGGCTCTGTATGTTGGTCAACGCTCATGTAATAATTTTCATTATGTCATGAATATTGCGGGGAAATAAATAGAAGGAAAGAACCAATAAACCAATGAACATAAAATAATTTTCGATAAATAGTATCAATTAGGTATTTACGGACGACATTTATTAACCCTTTCACCACTGTAGACCATAATGGACTAATCCATATCAATGCATGGTAGAGTCTACTGAAGTTACACAGAGGTGAAAGGGTTAATGATTACTTGATAAGAGGGTGTCTGTTATGCAATGTATAATTATAACTATTATTGGTTTTAAATACACAAACATTTAGCTTGATATTCTTCCATCGATTCGGAGGGTGGAAGGGGGCACTTTAGGTTTGCACTCCGTCCGTCCTTCCGTCTCTCCGTCCGAGAAGTTTGTCCGGGGTCATATCTTCTGTACTTTTTAACCAGGAGTAGCCATATTTAATGTACAAGGGCATTTTGGGATGCCGGTGTGCAGATTGCAAGAAGAAGGTCACTATGGCCTATGACTTGACTTTTGACCTTCACTTTTGAAAATATTTGTCGGGTCATGTCTTCTAGACTATTTTAACTTGGGTAACCAGATTATGTGTACAAGGACATCTCGGGATGACGGAGTGCAAAGTGCAAGAATTAGGTCAAAGTTGTGACCTATGCTTTGACATTTGACCTTTACTTTTGAAATCGTTTGCCCGGAGTAATCTTCTATACTATTTCACATGTACAAGGATATTTGGGATGGCGGAGTGCAGATTGCAAGAAGAAAGTCACAATGGCCTATGATTTGACATTTGACTTTCACTTTTGAAAATATTTGTCGGGGTCATGTCTTCTAGACTATTTTAACTTGGGTAACCAGATTAAGTGTACAAGGACATCTTAGGATGACGGAGTGCAAAGTGCAACAATTAGGTCACAGTTGTGACCTATGACTTGACCTTTGACCTTTAGTTTTGAAAAGGTTGTCCAGGGCATATCTATACTAAATCACCTGGAGTAACCATTTTTGGTGTACAACGACATCTTGGGATGGTGGAGTTTAAGACGTATGTATCAGGATGCTTTCCTACATAAGTGGACTGTTTATTAAATATATAATTCATTACCGGTGGGGGCTTAAGGATTGCCTTGCAATGCTTTGCCTTGTTCAGACATAATTTATAGGATATACTAAAGATACATTTGTTTAAGAACGTCAATCTAAAAACCAGATATGAGAGTGAAAATTCAATCTGTGGTAACATGAAAGTTCCACATCTGACGCATACGTTTGGTTTCTTTACCTTTGGACATTTTACGACATCACAGCGAATTGTTGATAAGTACTTTTTTCTGAAATATTCGTTCCCCTAATCTTAAACATCTGCTACATCAAATTATGAAAAACAAACAACATCTCAAATAGATTTTTAAAGTAAATGGGAATACGGCCATCATATTGTTATCATTTCATATCTTTGTTCAAGACTGATCGGGAAATCAAACCCGAGCCGTCTTGGTGAAAGGCGTTTGCGTTACCCAGCCACTTTGTTTTGTTGCATATTGCTCAAAGTAGTAACTATGACGACCTATTAAATTGAGTGAACGGCATGTTATTTTCTTCTGATTATTTACATTTTTTTCATTCCGGAGGCACGGTAGTTTAGTGGTAAGACGCTGGGCTCGTGACCGAAGTGTTGCGGGTTCGAGTCACGTGTTGTATCTTTGAATAAGATATTTTACCCTGCTTGTTCCTGTCTACTCAGCTGTAAATGAGTACGTGATTAGGCAGTGCTAGAATAGTTGAATGCTAGTTGCGAGCGCCGAATGGCAGCACAATCTGTATGGTTCCCAGGGAGTTGAGAAAGATATTGGCTGGTTGCAAAGGCTCTATCACCACGGATAACACTTTGTGAACCGCTTTGAGCGAGGTTGTGATAAAGCGGTATATAAGAACCTCGAATTATTATTTTTAAGAAGAACTTCGGCAGACATGAAAAGGCGATCAAACGGAAAAGCTGTTGATATGATTCAACTGCTATAAAACTGATACAGCCAAAAAAGACAATTGCAATACGGACGTTGAACAGCCGCGAACTGGACGCTGATAGAACGCTGATAGACGGATACTAACGGAACGGAGGCCTGACTATTCCCAATTGCATACTTGCCCATAATTATAAATATAATAGTTAGACCTATACAACCTAGTAACAGTAAGATTAACCCTAAGTAACAGTAAGACATATACCTAATAACAGTAAAATCAACCCCTAGTAACAGTAAGACCTACACATAATAACTGTACATATACCCGATAACACTAAGGATAAACCCTAGCTACAGTTAAATATTCCTGGTAATAATAGGATATAGCCCTAGGTACACAAAGATCAGTCCTAAGGGTTAGATCTACCTCTTATAATAGTATGATCAACCTCCTTAGTAACAGTTAGATCTACTCCTGATAACAGTTAGGTCTACCCTAGTATCAATTAGATCTACCCGTAGTAACAGTAAGATATACCCGTAGTAACAGTTATATCTACTCCTAATAACAGTTAGGTCTACCCCAGTATCAATTAGATCTACCCGCAGTACCAGTAAGATCTACCCCTAGAAACAGTAAGATATACTCCTAATAACAGTTAGGTCAACCCCAGTAACAGCTAGATCTACCCGTAGTAACAGTAAGATATACCCCTAGTAACAGTTAGATCTACTCCTAATGACAGTTAGGTCAACTCCAGTATCAATTAGATCTACCCATAGTAACAGTAAGATCTACCCCTAGTAACAGTTAGATCTACCCCTTATAACTGTAAGGTCTACCCCAGTATCAATTAGATCTACCCGTAGTAACAGTAAGATATACCCCTAGTAACAGTTAGATCTACTCCTAATAACAGTTAGGTCAACCCCAGTATCAATTAGATCTACCCGTAGTAACAGTAAGATCTACCCCTAGTAACAGTTAGAGCTACTCCCAATAACAGTAAGGTCTACCCCTAGTAACAGTAAGATCTACCCCTAGTAACAGTAAGGTCTACTCCTAATAACAGTTAGGTCTACCCCTAGTAACAGTAAGATCTACCCCTAATAACAGTTAGGTCTACTCCTAATAACAGTTAGGTCTACCCTTAGTAACAGTAAGAAATACCCGTAGTAACAGTTATATCTACTCCTAATAACAGTTAGGTCTACCCCAGTATCAATTCGATTTACCCGCAGTACCAGTAAGATCTACCCCTAGTAACAGTAAGATATACTCCTAATAACAGTTAGGTCTACCCCAGTAACAGCTAGATCTACCCGTAGTAACAGTAAGATATACCCCTAGTAACAGTAAGATCTACCCCTAATAACAGTTAGGTCTACTCCTAATAACAGTAAGATCTACTCCTAATAACAGTTAGGTCTACCCCAGTATCAATTCGATTTACCCGCAGTACCAGTAAGATCTACCCCTAGTAACAGTAAGATATACTCCTAATAACAGTTAGGTCTACCTCTAGTAACAGTAAGATCTACCCGTAGTAACAGTAAGATATACCCCTAGTATCAGTTAGAGCTACTCCTAATAACAGTAAGGTCTACCCCTAGTAACAGTAAGATCTACCCCTACTAACAGTAAGGTATACTCCTAATAACAGTTAGGTCTACCCCAGTAACAGCTAGATCTACCCGTAATAACAGTAAGATCTACCCCTAATAACAGTTAGATCTACTCCTAATAACAGTTAGGTCTACCCCAGTATCAATTCGATTTACCCGCAGTACCAGTAAGATCTACCCGTAGTAACAGTAAGATCTACTCCTAATAACAGTTAGGTCTACCTCTAGTAACAGTAAGATCTACCCCTAGTAACAGTAAGGTCTACTCCTAATAACAGTTAGGTCTACCCCTAGTAACAGTAAGATCTACCTCATTATCAATTAGATCTACCCGTAGTAACAGTAAGATAGATATACCCCTAGTATCAGTTAGAGCTACTCCTTATAACAGTAAGGTCTACCCCTAGTAACAGTTAGATCTACCCGTAGTACCAGTAAGATCTACCCCTAGTAACAGTAAGATCTACTCCTAATAACAGTTAGGTCTACCCCTAGTAACAGTAAGATCTACCCCTAATAACAGTTAGGTCTACTCCTAATAACAGTTAGGTCTACCCCTAGTAACAGTAAGGTCTACCCCTAGTAACAGTAAGATCTACCCCTAATAACAGTTAGGTCTACTCCTAATAACAGTTAGGTCTACCCCTAGTAACAGTAAGATCTACCCCTAGTAACAGTAAGATCTACCCCTAATAACAGTTAGGTCTACTCCTAATAACAGTAAGATCTACTCCTAATAACTGTAAGATCTACCCGTAGTAACAGTAAGATCTACCCCTAGTAACAGTTAGATCCACTCCTAATAACAGTAAGGTATACCCCAGTATCAATTAGATCTACCCGTAGTAACAGTAAGGTTTACTCCTAATAACAGTAAGGTCTACCCCTAGTAACAGTTAGATCTACTCCTAATAACAGTAAGGTCTACCCCTAGTAACAGTAAGATATACCCGTAGTAACAGTAAGATATACCCCTAGTAACAGTTAGATCTACTCCTAATTACAGTAAGGTCTTCCCCTAGTAACTGTAAGATCGACACATAGTAACGGTAATATTTACTTTCCAAATAATGACGGTAAGGTTTATCCTGTGATAAATTCAATAGAATACCGTAAAATGACATTCCTGACGACTGTTTATATTTTCCTTTTTACAGGACACGGCGTTCTACCAAGACGTAAAACACGGGGCAGCTTTTACCGTCAAATTCGATGAAAAAACGTCAAAAGTTTTAAATCTGGTGAGTTACAACAATAAGCCTCTTACATTTTTTTTGATAAGTCTCTAATGCTTTTTAAAGGTTCAATGGTACCATCATCTCATTAAATACGCGCATTAATGCAATATGCACACCAAAACGAACGATGAAAATGACTGATATATTTCACAAATTATCTTGCAGCGATATCTAACTTATATATATTGTTGAAGCTGGAGGAAAAGCAAACCGAAAAAACAAATTTACCATCAAAAATCTCAAATTTGGATGAAACACACAAAAAATTAATAACTTTACGTTATAAATTTAAACTAGACGTCGCTTAATTCCGATACATAATGTGTACTTTTTTGTGATATGAATCTCTTTCACAGTTTGGTACATTGCGATTAAACAATGCCGCCTACTTTATGGAAAGGTCAGGTGATTTTGAAAGCGGTGACGATTCCCACTTCCGTCTACGGAAGTACAAGGTCATGGCCGGAAAGTTTGTGGACATTGTGCAGAGGAAAGGTAAGAACGACATATATCATATTGTTAAGAACATCTCCAATCTTCACGTGACAAAGATCACGTGTACAGATATTGCACAGTTTGTGTTTCATTCGCTGAACGAGATATTACCTAACTTTGCTACCCGATAGGTCAATTTTAAAAAGTAAAACAGGTGCTCCTTTTGGACTTATGACTTTAAGTTTGTCGTGATAATAATGGTTATGAAGTGATGTTGTATGCAGGTGATATGGTAGCTAAAGAAAAGTACGTATCTTTCAACTGCCAGTCTGACATTTATTGAACCGCGTCAGTTTTAGGAAATGCTTTGGACGTAGTTGAAGTGGGATGGGTTACAGTCATAAGTTATCATTCCGGTTCAAACCATATCGTTTTCAAAAAGTGTTTTATAAAAATATATACAGAAAATAATTTGATATCAACGTCAAAACTTATATATAAGCCTTTCATCTCGATCTCTACTTAATATATAACTAACAAGGATGGCTTTGTACGTATCTGTTGTGATTATTTGGATTTCTGATCAGGAACTTTCCTTTTATTGATAGTGACACCCCGGCTTCCCCATGTTCAGTGTTTACATGTCGTAATTTAATGGATATTCACAGTTTTAATCTGAATATCACGATTTCCGCGATACAAATAGATATCGAATGTTGAAAACGTACAATACAGGTTTCGGTTTCAATACTGGTTGATGAATGATACTGTCGAATGTTTAAGGTCGCCATCATTGTTTATATAGAGAAAAAGTATATAGTATGTCCCTCGTGCCATATAAATGAGTCTTCTTTGAGTATGCTCTTTTGTGTCCCTAGTGTTCCACATCACTTTTGTTCTCACTTGGATAATGTAGCATTTAATTGATTTGACCTACATTTTATGCAATTGGCGGCAATAATAACAGGGAACACTTACTCTTCCGGAATGTCTGGTCATATTATTATTGTAGTTTTACAAGAGTTTCCTTGTAAATCATTTCTCTGTTCATAGTAAAAATCATAGTTTTACCGATATATTTGTAGTGCTTTTGCGATTCAGAAAACAAAAGAAGTTTGATAAAAACAGAAACACAAGGCTTTCCTTCTGTCTGGAATGAGGTATGGTAGTGTATAGTCAGGATAAAAACAGAAACACAAGGCTTTCCTTCTGTCTGTAATGAGGTATGGTAGTATATAGTCAGGATAAAAACAGAAACACGAGGCTTTGCTTCTGTCTGTAATGAGGTATGGTAGTGTATAGGCAGGATAAAAACATAAACACAAGGCTTTGCCCCTGTCTGGAATTAGGTATGGCAGTGTAAAGTCAGGATAAAAACAGAAACACAAGGCTTTCCTTCTGTCTGTAATGAGGAATGGTAGTATATAGTCAGGATAAAAACAGAAACACGAGGCTTTGCTTCTGTCTGTAATGAGGTATGGTAGTATATAGTCAGGATAAAAACAGAAACACAAGGCTTTCCTTCTCTCTGTAATGAGGTATGGTAGTGTAAAGTCAGGATAAAAACAGAAACACAAGGCTTTGCTCCTGTCTGGAATGAGGTATGGTAGTGTAAAGTCAGGATAAAAACAGAAACACAAGGCTTTCCTTCTGTCTGTAATGAGGTATTGTAGTGTATAGTCAGGATAAAAACAAAAACACAAGGCTTTGCCCCTGTCTGGAATGAGGTATGGTAGTGTATAGTCAGGATAAAAACACAAACACAAGGCTTTCCTTCTGTCTGTAATGAGGAATGGTAGTATATAGTCAGGATAAAAACAGAAACACGAGGCTTTCCTCCTGTCTGTAATGAGGTATGGTAGTGTATAGGCAGGATAAAAACAGAAACACAAGGCTTTGCCCCTGTCTGGAATGACGTATGGCAGTGTATAATCAGGATAAAAACAGAAACACAAGGCTTTGCTCCTGTCTGGAATGGGGTATGGTAGTGTAAAGTCAGGATAAAAACAGAAACACAAGGCTTTCCTTCTGTCTGAAATGAGGTATGGTAGTATATAGTCAGGATAAAAACAGAAACACGAGGCTTTGCTTCTGTCTGTAATGAGGTATGGTAGTGTATAGGCAGGATAAAAACAGAAACACAAGGCTTTGCCCCTGTCTGGAATGAGGTATTGTAGTGTATAGTCAGGATAAAAACAGAAACACAAGGCTTTGCTCCTTTCTGTAATGAGGTATGGTAGTATATAGTCAGGATAAAAACAGAAACACAAGGCTTTCCTTCTGTCTGGAATGAGGTATTGTAGTGTATTGTCAGGATAAAAACAGAAACACAAGGCTTTGCCCCTGTCTGGAATAAGGGATGGTAGTGTATAGTCAGGATAAAAACAGAAACACAAGGCTTTGCCCCTGTCTGGAATAAGGTATGGTAGTGTATAGTCAGGATAAAAACAGAGACACAAGGCTTTGATCCTGTCTGTAATGAGGAATGGTAGTGTATAGTCAGGATAAAAACAGAAATACAAGGGTTTGCTCCTGTCTGGAATGAGGTATGGTAGTGTAAAGTCAGGATAAAAACAGAAGCACAAGGCTTTGCTCCTGTCTGGAATGAGGTATGGTAGTGTATAGTCAGGATAAAAATCAAATGTTTAAAAGAGAAAAAACAACAAACTGTAATTGTTCATTTCATTACATATACTTTGTAATGAAATAACGGTTGTTGAATTCCGTAAGATAGTTTTTAATTCCTTTTTGCAAAACATTATTTCGGGTTGACAGTGCATTTCCGTATTATGTATCTCCAACGTGTCATCTGTTTCAAAATACGTTCTGTTGTATCTATGGTCTGTTAACTCATTCACCACCGACATTTCATAATGAACTATTCCAACCTTTGAATTGGAAGTGTTCAAATGTGTCTTCAGTGTTGAATGAGTTAAAAAATTAATACGTTATAAATGCACTATTGGCAACAGGTTATATCAAATAGTTTAACCGGTCAATACTTTAATTATATTTACGCAAGGTGGATTCCAACTCTATCCCTTTTAATTATTTACTTTAAATCACTCAATTCAGTCGAGGACTGTTTCCGTAAAAATCGTCGTGTTTTGAAATAGAAATGAAATTTGAGATAACGATCGTGATGTATCTAGACTATCTATCGTGTCGAATCACGATGACCTATTGACAGGTGGGATTATATATCGAGGTGTGGGCGCATGGAAACAATAACCCCTGACGACGCTGACTTGTCGAAAAAACAGATCAGTTACTGCGATAATGTCCTGTTTACGGGGCCACGATTTATGGTAACATTATACCGAAATGACACAGACTATGTGTGATGAAGCTTCCAATTTCTTTCGAATTTTTTTGCAAGATGGTATATACCGGATTTAACAACAAGTTACGCCTGCCATGTGACGATTGCTTGATTCTGTCTCATATGTTTATCATCCTTTTTGCAGCTTTTCAAATGAATCAAAAAATAACCATGTTAAGGTATTTAGAAATATTATTTCGGGTTGAAAATACACATCGAATTTTGTATACCCTACTAACTCTCTGTTGTCTCTTTGTTCTTATAAAGAAGGGTACAGTATAAATGTACTTATAAAGAAGGGATACGGTATAAATGTACTTTTAAAAAAGGGATACGGTATAAATGTTGTTATAAAGAACGGATACGGTATAAATGTACTTATAAAGAAGGGATACGGTATAAATGTACTTATAACGAAGGGATACGGTATAAAAGTACTTATAAAGCAGGGATAGGGTATACATGTACTTATAAAGAAGGGATACGGTATAAATGTACTTATAACGAAGGGATACGGTATAAAAGTACTTATAAAGCAGGGATAGGGTATACATGTACTTATAAAGAAGGGATACGGTATAAATGTACTTATAAAGAAGGGATACGGTATACATGTACTTATAACGAAGGGATACGGTATAAATGTACTTATAAAGCAGGGATAGGGTATACATGTACTTATAAAGAAGGGATACGGTATAAATGTGGGGGTAAAGAACGGATACGGTATAAATGTTCTTATAAAGAAGGGATACGGTATAAATGTACTTATAAAGAAGGGATACGGTACAAATGTACTTATAAAGAAGGGATACGGTACAAATGTACTTATAAAGAAGGGATACGGTATAAATGTACTTATAAAGAAGGTGTACGGTATAAATGTACTTATAAAGAACGGATACGGTATAAATGTACTTATAAAGAAGGGATACGGTATAAATGTACTTATAAAGAAGGGATACGGTACAAATGTACTTATAAAGAAGGGATACGGTATAAATGCACTTATAAAGAAGGGACACGGCTGCCATTTAGGCGCTCACAGCTAGCATTCAACTATTCCAGCACTGCCCAACATCGTTTCCATTTACAGCTGAGTAGACTGGCGCAAGCGGAGTAATGTATCTTATTCAAGGATACACGTGCCGTGACGTAACTCGAACACGCAACCCTTCGGGTACGAACCCGGTGTCCTTCCACTAGACTACTGTGCCTCCACTATCCCGATCTTGTATTTCGTAAACTAATCAGTATGATAAAAAGTCTACATACTACGACATTTTGTTCAATAAATCTACAATATTATTCCTTTTAATTTCAAGGTTGTGGTTAATTAAGTGCTAAGGCCAATTTCTCGCCTTATCTATGAAAATGTGGACATTTCTTCATGAAAGAATGAATGAATAAATGAATGCAGGGAAACTATTTCTTGTTTTGAAACTTCACAACACTTTACATAGAGAGGGTGGTAACAGCCTCCATAGCAATCAAGGATGGCTTCCTATATATGCAACACATCTAAATATGGTTAAGCCACTAAAGTTAGACTTCCGGTTGGATTTTGGATTATTTCGACCTCCTTCTTCAACGATGGATAACTGGTTCTATGATAATACATTCTCTATTCCCACGATTTGTACGAGGGTTTCTACGCAATGATGACAGCAAGGTATGCTTTAAAAGTAGAAATGTTGACAGTATCGAAATATTCGTGTTTCTGCGCGTGAAGTAAGTTAGTGCGAAATTCTCTACACGCGAATATTTATTGATAGATGTTTGTTTTAGAAATTCCTTCTGAGGAAAACAACACTGAATACGGGGAACATTATCTAAAATTAAAAGTTTCCCTTTACTCCTCCGTTAATGATTTACTGTCAGAAACTTAAGGAATTCCTTAATTTAAAGAATGTTCGTAAAGCCGGGGCCAGCTTTTTCTCTCCGGCAGTGTCTCCCTTTTAACCCATCGTCATAAGAAATTGTGTTTAACCGGAACCTTTGTATTCCGACTATCTATGACTTCATCGGCAGCTTGTAGTATAAAGCATTACGACCTGTTTTATCCCGTCCAGAGAGCGTCCGTATTTAAATTTACTTATTCCTACTAAGTCGATACTGAACACATGTTGCTGGCCATCTAGACTTAGACCTTTGTTCATTGTCCTGAGACATACAGGTTTACATTAAGAAATTTTCCAGTTAACGATTATTAACTCCAAATAAACTCTTTAATTATAAAAACAAATTGGGCCTATAAAATCATCGGTTTTTATTTTACATTTTTCCAGTTGGTCATGGCTCGGACAGCAAGAGTGATACATCTGATTTTGACAAGACTAGGAACAGTGGCAAAACAGGAACCGGAAGCGATGCAATTCCCAGCTCGCGCGTGAAGCGATCCGCTGTTGAGCAAACCGTCGAGTTAATGTTCACCACCGATTACTCCATTTATAGCTAGTAAGAACAATTGAAAAAAAAACATATTCAAAAATATATACATAATTATTTTGGAGTCGAAGTCCAAACAAGCGGTCATTTGTTATGAAATATTCTATAAATAAATAATTTATATTTATCACTTTGCTGATGTGACGTGAATATTTCAAATCAAATGACCCCTTTTAGAGCCTTTCCCCCATATGTGACAACCAGAATATATTTATTAACTTAGGTCAAGTTCATATTGTCATACGATGTCACTGTGCATTTATGGTATCGTGTACAAATACTGACTATCGTCAAAACCTTCCGGCTGACTATATTGATACTTTGTTATGATTGTTTAATGTTTGAACGACTAGGTAATTAAGCCGGTAATAATGGTAATAACCAAGGATAGGCGAGGCGTGCCCTCTCTAACCCAGTACAGTGATATCTTACACTCCGGTGGTCTTGACGTGTTTCTCTGATCCACAGCCAACCCTAAGATGACAGCTCGAATATACTGAGACAGTGTGGCATTTCTATTGACTGAAAAACATAAGAAAAGATTAAAAAAAAGTCATTATAAGTCCCTATATCTGGAGAAGAATTATCTTAGATGGCACGCAATGTAAGATAGTTTCGATTGATGTGTAATTGCATTAATGCGCGGTTTTCATGACATGTGAAATCCATTTTTCTCTCATACCCGGTCATGTAAGATAACGCTGGCCATGTAAGATAATCATGCTTGCTGAGTCTATCTAACATGGGCTAATCACATTGCGTTGTAATACAAAAACTAAGGGGAGCAACTCCGATGGAGATGTAATATTCGCCCGGCTCGGTATTTATTAATTGTATCTATAATTTCATTTATATTTATTAATTACATAATCAGTCATGAATTAAAAATTTGACAACAAAAACATTTTTTTTTTCTATTTTCAACTAGGAACTATATTTCTCTGCGCACTTAATTAGATGTACAGTAAGTAGCGATGAGTTATCATGGAAATGTTTTTTTTTTATTCTTGCAACAAAGTTGCAATTTGAGGGTATGAATAATTCATTGCTACTGCTATTTTTTGTTTTAAACCACCGAGAAAGTCTTTAAAAAAACTGGAAGATGACGACCGTCTGTGGGCATTGAGAGGTGAAGCATTTGTTTTCTAATGGTAGATATGAGAGAAAAATACTCTTCCATATGTAACGGTAGGTGGATAGAGAATTCCTTCCTCGGGGATCATAAATGGGGTAAAACCCCAATTTATGATCCCCTCGGGAAGAATTATCTATCCACCTCCAGTACATATGAAAGAGTCTTATAATCTTGTATGGGCATGCCGTCACAGTTGTAAAGACAATGAGATGACGTCATGCTTCGGCACATTTGCTTTGTTGTAATGTATAAAATTGCTGAATTTCTTATCCAGTGAAACTATTCTTTTAATATTTGTTGTCAAGTTAGGTATTATAGGAAGTTTATACTTTCAGCATAAACAAAACTGTGATGCGCTCTTTCAATATTTATTGGTTTAATATTTACGAAGTAAATGATTTGGCACAAGATTGGGGGAGGGGTCATGTTAAGCAGGTTCGATGGAAACATCCATCTCTTGGTTATAAGATTGGTTTTGTGTCCCATATTCTGTACACTTGGGTTGAAATTTCTATCATACATAAACACATATCAAATAATCATATATTACGTATGGTCTGGCTAATCCTAGGGGTCATGTTCACCGATATATTTTTGTCTTGCACGTGACCCTTTCGACCCATTGTTTCTTAATTTAGATCCGGCTATTTCGTTTTGAAAACCATTAATGTATTCTAACTATTTGGATATCTAATATATTATCTAAAGACATGATACGCAGAAAGGTTTGTCTTGGTCAATATGATATCATTATCAGGTTCATTTAACAACGTATCGACCTCAACAAAAGTCGTTAAATGACCAACAATACGCCATACTCTCAAGCACTGAGCACTAACATAGTGTTTGGCTAAGGAAATTTCTACCGCTGAAATTTAAGATCCAATTAGATGTACGAGTAATGAATTATATAAAGGGAAACTGACGTTGATATTGCATGATTTATCGTTTGTTTTAGATTGTTTACAATCATTAGAGGAATATTGACCTGCTGTATTAGATATCATAATATGATAAATTTGATGACTGTTTATCTAGTTGGTATAGCGACAGCAATGCGACATCGACCGCACAGAAGGACTTAGACGCCAAGACGAGTATCAGGCAGTTCTACGCGCATGCCATTAATGAGGTAAACGTTACATTTTTCGTAATCAATACTGTGTCCATAATATCCTTATCACATTATATTATCACATCATCAATTATGTAACCATTTATAGCTAAGTAATCATCATATTAAAATAGTGTCGCGAGACATCATTAATTCTATAAATCCTGGCCATGGATGATAAGACATCCGTATGATTATATCTAAAATAACCTAAAAAAAAATATAATAAGTATCGAAAGTCACTTAAGATCAAGAGTGGATCAAGAGCGACTGTGAGTGTTGATATTTATTTTATTGGATTTGTTTTATTTATGATGTTCCCATAGGAACATTGTAATAGACGTTCAAACATCATGTAACAAAAACTATAATCAAAAGATTTGTATCATTGCAGGTTGACGCTATGTATGCCAGTGTTGATTCGTCGTCGATTTCTATAAACGTGGTATTTGCATGCCTTGTTATTTCTGAAGTAAGTATCGTGAAACATGCCTATTCAACCTACAATCGAGTTACAAATGCTGTTAAAGATGCTTTACACCATAAATAAACATACTTTTAAATACAACAACTTACTCTAGAGACTCGGAGTCCATTTACTAAATACATATGTACTTCCCTGGACACGTTTTTGAATACTGTTCAAATCCATACATATTGCTAAATGAGATTTGTATCGCCAAGTAGAAAGATGTACCATTGCTTTTGGAGACAAAACAGTTTATGTTATGAGGATAAAGAATGCAAAAAACAAATGAATCTTTACCCTTCCAAAACATTTTCCCGAACTTTAATTTATGCTGTTGGGAGTTTTTTCTTGGATCATATGAATTTTTCGTATTCTGGTGTTTTTTTTACAACCTTTTCTGTTTAACGATGCGGTTTTACCTCTTTGGATTGGTATTTGGTCTAATTTTCCTTTGCCGTTGAAGAAAGGGGTCGAATGATAAATATGTCTGATCATCTTCGGTCATTAGCTCCACCTACTGGGTCGCAGGTGTAAGGCCTACTTGAGGCAGCCGACAAGTAGCTGGTGGTTGTGTGGTTGGTGTTTGTTTCTCCGGGTACTCTGATATCCTCCAGAACAAAAACCTGCTCGTCCTGTTTTCTTCAATTTCTACTACATATGATTGACTCTTTTTTTGCACTCGTTTCATCGCCTGTTGCAAGATCACCCATTTATCCCTGACAACATTTACCTGACATTTACCTGACATTTGCAATCAGGTTTTTAGTCACTTTTTAAAGGATTAAGGATTAAGGTTGTTGAACTACCGAGAAATCATTCTTACTAAAAGCTGATTTTCAGAAAGTGACGTGTAGTTATGTTTATACACATGTACTTGAAACTGTTAATCACCACTTATCATCGACATTTTTTCTATATATTTTAAGAATTGCTTTCTGTTTGCTCACTATGCCCTTCCAGCATGAACCATGGTCTTTGGTTTCGACGATTTTATTCAAAATTCATGACGACAGCAATTTTCATTTCATTTAATAGCGTATAGCAAATGTTCATGCAAATTTTAATATTTTATTACCTTCTCATGCTTCTTATGAAAGTCAGTCCCTAGGTAAAATGTCTAATAAGACAGAACTCAGATTTTTGTTATATATAATATTTGAGCTGATAATAGAATATGACAGAATGAAAGAAAAAAATATGTTTCCTGTTTTTGCTATTTTTGTTGTTGTCGTTTTTAACTATTTCTTTTCTATTTGTTTTTTTTTTTAATTTTATTTTATGGTGGGTTTTTTTAATTCAAGTTATAAACAGTAGTTGAGCTGAAAATAAAATATAACAGAATGAAGGAAAATTATTCAGAATGACGGTAATGATTTTCCTGGGATTTTTAATAGGAACTCCCTAAATTGACATACTTTCTATCGATATTTGTAAGAGTATCGTCTCTTCCCCAAATAAGTTTTCCACCATTAGTATTGTTATCACAGAATATCAGAAAAGCTGTACCACACAATACACAGACATCGCAATACAGAAATGAAATGTTCCTGTGTTGCAATATTTTTCAAAAGCTTAGTTTTTATGTATCCGCTAGGTGTTTTAACTTTGTCAACTACTAAACATTGTAACATATAATAGTTAATAACAATCATCAAGCTGTATTACACCTGTAACTGGAATCAGTTAAAATTGGGAAACAATTACATAAATAAGAATATAAAGCTTTACAACATGTTAATTATATATCTAACCTTAATATGCATAAATTAAACTATTTGGTGGGATTGCATTTCCAAACTCATCAGTGGATGGCCTTGTGTGATACAATGGACTTTTTGGCCTGTATCTGTTGGGTTCGGTAATGTAATCCCATCAAATGTTTATACATGCAGCTCCATCAACAAATTTATTTTATATGTCTTTTCAATATCAAAATAAAAGGTAAGAATTTAAACCATTAGATTCAATTATAATAAAAATGAGTATTAGTAGCTGTTTCCCCTAATTTGATTATTAATTTGATAATATCAACTTGTTTATATGTGTTTGTATGTGTTCTAATGTCTATGTCTATGCTTGTACCACTGTCTGTTACTGTGTTTGAAAAGGGTTTAAATAGGCTATGCCTGCTGCCCAATCCATTTGTCCTTTGACAATAAAATCTATTGAAATTGAAATCAGTTAAAATTAATAATAGATGGATGGTTTAACAAAAAAATATCTGTGTGACCATATATATTATTCAGTTTGATATCATTCTGACAACAATTCTTTTGAAATTCAGCACCTTTTTTTCTATGACTATATATCGTGATACGTACCGCAATGTATTCTTTGTCTTTTGCAATAATTTGTGATACACTCCACGCGTATTGTTACACCCGTATACTCATTAGGTATATTAGATCTGGAAGGTGAACGTCGCTGTGTAATATGAACGGGCTTGTTACACCACCATACCAAACACCATGACTTTAACACACATATCTTTTCACATTTAAATGTGTTTCGTCTTTGTGTAGTCCGTTGCAACATCTGAGTGGACTGAGACCAGAGTCAGCGGAGGAAAGGTGGACGCCAGTGACGTACTTAACAACTACACGGCTTGGGAACAACAGCTTGCGATCTCTCCTTGCGGCTACGACCACGCCATGTTGTTCAGCAAGTACGTCACACGTCACATGGTTTAATGTTAACAGCACGTGTTCTGTTATTGTATGTATGTTATACATATATTATCTGAGTATAATGATGTACTTTGTCATCTAAAATGTGCATCATATATTGATATTTTTCCAAGATCTTAAAGTTTTCAATAAATGAACACTCTTGGGATGAATTATAGTCTGCTAATAAGAAATGACGTCACAGAAATTAACCGACCGTTTGATACATATGAAGAAACAAATATACAAAGTGATTTCCAATTACTTGTAGTAAATATATATCATATTGAGATATCCAATGACTTGTAGTAATTATATATTATATTGAGATACCCAATGACTTGTAGTAAATGTATATTATATTGAGAAACCCAATTACTTGTACTACATATACAGTATGTTGAGATACCCAACATTTAACTGACACTATTTTATTGGCAAAAAAAGGTGAGTTTTTTGTGTATTTTCCATTTATGAAATATACATAATTTTTCTGAACAAAACAGTGTGCTATTAATTTCTAATCAGAGCTGTATATAGCATTTAGAGTTGCAGATTAAAAGGTCGTTGAAATACTTCAAACATACACTTTCTTGGTGTCTTTGTTATTGAGGCACGGTAGTTTAGTGGTAGGACGACGGGCTCGTGACCGAATGGTTGCAGGTTCGACTCACGTCACGGCACTGTGTTTGATCAAGATAGTTTACTCCGCTTGTTCAAGTCTACTCAGCTGTAAATGAGTACGTGATTTGGCAGTGATAGAATTGTTGAATACTAGCTGGGAGGTCCGAAACGGCAGCACCGGCTGTATGCTCCCCCCGGGAGTTGAGAAAGATACTGGCTGGTTGCAAATGCCCTATAACCACGGATAATAATTTGTGAACCACTTTGAGACAACCTACGAATTAGTTGTGATAAGGCGGTATAATAGAACCTCGAATTATGGTAGTTTAGTGAGGTGAAACCATCACCAGATCAACAGCATAACAAGGAAGCATATTCACCATACTGCCGTCAGGGTACGCACATGCTTTACACACATGGTGGCATAAATAGGACACTAAATTCACTAAACCAACACTATAACTAATGTGTGTAACAAGAGAGTAGTGTGCTGACATGTACTATTAGGATCGAACCAGCGACGACCTAGCTTCAAACACCTGATTGAGCTAAAGTGAAATGTTCTCCAACGCGAAGCCAGAAGGCGACTGTAATCATATAAATGTGTTCCCAACCACCATAATCCAAGTTCAATCTCCCTGTCACCAACTGGAGGATCATGGACACCATCTGTAATAGGAAAGGGAGAAGTGTACTTACAGCGGAAATCGAACCATAAACCCCAAGCTTCTCAGCCCGCCGCTCTACCGATTAAGCTGACGGGAATTTCCCTCAAGCGCAAAGCTAAAATGCGACTGTAATAATTTGTACAATCAAAACCTGTCACACACTTTATGTCCTCCAACTCAGACGAAATTTCAATAGACTAACTTTGTTCACCATATTGTTACCGTAAGATATAACAGACAATATATTTATGTTAATTGTCTTTATTTCATGATTGTTATAGGTACGACTTTACATCAACGGCCGAAGGAGTAGTGAGCAGCGCCGTTGCAGGTAGGGACATGTTGATGTATTACGATATCGGTAAAAACGTAGTGACAGTTACATCACAGGTGAATAAATGGTTAAGTAAATGTCACAGATACATTCATGTTACCATTGCATGATCACTTCCATATCCGAACCCGTACCAACCCGAGGGGTCAGAGGCCTGAGGGTTGAAATTGATCTAGGGTTGATACCAGGTAAGATAATAGTCATATTTTAACCCATTTCCATACGCTACACACTGTAACTATTAAATTACCAAATAAAAATTACAATCATATCAATAAAATTTGAAGGTCATATATATGACAAATGTGATATTATCCAGACTCTTATTTAAAACAAAATGCAATTAACCATCAAATCAGGATGATATGGCGCGTACGGGCAGATACCGGCCATCAGAAATGCGCATTGTCTATTTGCAAATGTGTCACGTGTTTATTTCAGGTCTTGCGTGGTTATCAGGCGCTTGTGACAGTCTTAAACAATCGATCAGTGAGGATTCATTCGACTATGACATGAATGTAATAGCGGCTCATGAACTCGGACACAAGTGAGTGAAACTGATATGAAGGCATTATTTAGGAACCCCGTACCACTGCCAAAAGATGTAACTATTCATTTCAAACTGTTTTTCCCGCCATGACTTTAGCTTTGATAAATCATGTCTGAAAAGAAAACTTTTGGAACTTTTATATAGAAATAACAAAGGTTTGATAAACAAAATATAACCAACAACATTGTCCTGAGTGTAAAACATTAGCGGGACTAGACCGAGATTTGAACCCTGTACTTCAGACTATTATTTTATCGCTCTTACTGAGAGAGATACCTTGTTAACGGGAGTATCCTGACCAAACTGTGCTACAGTTATAGCCTTGCGGAAGTTAAGGGGAGATTACTCTAAATAGGAAAAACCACAGTGCAGTTGGATAGGGATCCTTTACGAGAAATGACAACTCCTTTGTTGTGAAATGTACATGTTGAGAGAGCAATCCATATGTCAAGAGGACAGCGATTTTTCTCTCTCGTCGCAATGTTGCTCTTAATGTTGTTAAATTCTATCAATTATATTAACATATTGAATACATGTTTGATCTGTAGTATTTGTCTTTGCTATGATATTTAAGTTTGTTGTAACGGTTTGATATTGTGACATCATAGTTTAATGTAAAAACATAACATAACGTCACGGCTTGTTGCCTATAGCCTTGGAGCTGACCATGACGGGGACGGAAATTCGTGCCCGGAAAACAACAAGAACATCATGTCGCCATCTATTGGTCCAGGTCCCAGTTCAGCGAGGGATAATCCATGGAAATTTTCAAGCTGTTCTGTCACATACTTCGAAACTTACGTAACAAAACTAAATACGTGAGTCGGTAACAAAAGTATAAATTACAAAACAACATTACATGAAATTTCAGGACAATAACTCGCACTTTGTTTAATGTACGTGAAGTATGGAACACATATATTATACAACATAGGGTATCTCAACATACTATGACAGTCTTACATAAGGTAACACAGTGACATAGCTGTACTGTGACAGTCTTACATAGGTTTACTGTGACAGTCTTACATAGGTTTACACTATTACATAGCTGTGCTGTGACAGTCTTACATAGGTTTACACTATTACATAGCTATACTGTGAAAGTCTAACATAGGTTTACATTCTTACATATCTGTACTGTGATAGTCTAACATAGGTTTACACTCTTTCATAGCTTTACTATGACAGTCCTACATAGGTTTACACTCTTACATAGCTCTACTGCGATAGTCCTACATAGGTTTACACTCTTATATAGCTGTACTGTGAGTCTTACATAGGTTTACACTCTTACATAGCTCTACTGCGGCAGTCTAACATAGGTTTACACTCTTACATAGCTATACGGTGACAGTCTAACATAGGTTTACACTCTTACATAGCTTTACTGTGACACTCTTAAATAGGTTTATACTATTACATAGCTGTACTGTGACAGTCTAACATAGGTTTACACTATAACATAGCTATACTGTGACAGTCTTACATAAGTTTACACTCTTACATAGCTTTAATGTGGCAGTCTAACATAGGTTTACACTATTACATTGCTGTACTGTGACACTCTTACATAGGGTAACACTCTTACATAGCTGTACTGTGACAGTCTTACATAGGTTTACACTCTTACATAACTGTACTGTGATAGTCTTACATAGGTTTACATTATTACATAGCTGTAATGTGGCAGTCTAACATAGGTTTACACTCTTGCATAGCTCTACTGTGATAGTCTTACATAGGTTTACACTCTTACATAGCTGTACTGTGACAGTCTTACATAGGTTTTCCCTCTTACATAGCTCTACTGTGACATTTTGACATAGGTTAAACCTCTTAAATAGCTATACTGTGACACTCTTACATAGGTTTATACTCTTACCTAGCTCTCCTGCGACAGTCTTACATAGGTTTACACTCTTACATAGCTATACTATGACACTTTTACATAGGTTTACACTCTTACATAGCCGTTCTGTGATAGTCTTCATAGGTTTACACTCTTACATTGCTGTACTGTGACAGTCTTACATAGATTTACACTCTTACATAGCTGTTCTGTGATAGTCTTACATAGTTTTACACTCTTACATAGCTGTACTGTGACAATCTGACATAGGTTTACACTCTTACAAAGGTTTATGCTGTAACAGTCTCGCATAGGTTTACCATTTCACGAATGTTTAGACTATACACAAGTATACGATATTTTACAAAGTGGTCTAACATATCAGCACATACCTACACGGCATAAGTGTTATATATATATATATATATATACATAAAGACTCATTTTGGGTTTTAGAGACACGAATAACTGTCTGCTGACATTGAGTAGCGATCACGATCCGACGGCCTTGACCCCGTATGACCAGGGGATTCCCGGTCAGGTGATCACGGCTGACGAGCAGTGCGTGCGACTTGAAGGAGCTGGATCACACTTATGTAGGGTAAGGTTGTGGCTATACTGGGGAGCGAAATCTACTTCGGTCATTTAGATGAATCGTTATACATCAATGATAAAGGGGTCGACGCCATCGTCCACCCATGCTCGACATCCAAGGGTTGTGCTCTCGGAATGTGTATCTCTTCTGTGATCTTTAAATGATAGAAATCAGCCTAGGAACTAGTCAGGTTTGTTATAATCAAATAGTTTACCGCCAGCCATCGATATTTAGAGGGTGTTAACAGAAGATGTTTGTACCTGGGTTTCGAGGATGACATCCTCTGAAATAAAAAGACCTGAATGTGGATGTTGCTCTTTGCTTACTTTTTCAGGAGTTTTACACTTCCGATTATTCTAGCATGTGCTATTCCATGAAATGTAGGATATCCGGTTCTACATCATGCAATATTTATACCGCTGCTACCGGAACCACGTGTGGAAACCAAAAGGTAATACATTAATATGATATAATTTATTTAGAATTTGATACTACCGGTGCAATTTAACCGTTTTGCAATATTTTTCAAACATTGTGAATAAATTAATTTATTGAGCATGTGCGCCTCTGTTCCTTTTTTTCATTCTTGAACAGGTAAATAGTTTTGTAATTATTTTCCATTATCAAATTTTACATCAATATGATTTAAACTTTTGTTACGAACCCTTCAATAATCATTTTTAAAGTATTTACCATGAAAAATATTATTTACCTGATTTAGTATCATCTGCTTGATTCCTTTTTGGATCGTCAGAAAGGGCGGATTGGTCGAGTGGTTAACACTGCGACCTGCTACGCAAGCGGCCGGGGTTCGATCCCCGAAGTCGTCGTACGCATAGAATATTCAGAAAAAGTGTTTTTCTCCTGCCCACACAACTCCAACAACCCAGGTGGAGTATAAAATGGTCTGTGGTGGATGTTGCGGTATATGTACTGTAGCATTCAAGTGAGGTGGCACTATAAATGATATCGTTGGAAGCACGGTCCCAATACAAACAGAACACAATACATCTCCATCACACACGCAGGCATACACACTTAGGGAGGTATTAGCCAGGTGGCATAGGACTAGTAGTTAGCGCCTGTTGAGGCAGCTCCTGCGAATTCCTCGGATTGGTATTGATTGATGTATATGCTAATTGTATTGATTGTGTTAAGTGTATATCTATGTACTGTAAAGCGCTTTAGAGCGGCTTATCCTAGCTAGCTAGGGCGCTATATCAAATGTTGTTTATTACTAATTTTATTATCAAAGGCGTTCTTTCTAAATAAAACAATTTTTACATTTTATCTGAGATGGAGATTTTCTGTAATTGTAGAAATTCTCGCGTGTGTAAATGGTCGCCTTGTCAATCTTTAAACGGATCGTAGTGCGAACATTTTCGCATTGACAATGGCTCTAAAGTCTATATTTTATATGTTTTATAAACCATGTATTTTTTTGTTATATTCTCATGTTCAAATGTTGATATTTTTGAGGTTATTTCCTCAATGCGAAAAAAGCAATAATATCCGCACCGTAAAGATGTACCTTTCAACTTTAACTTGAAGTGTGTCAATAGATTTCTTAGATAATCTTGCCAGGTAGATCAGGCATAATCGAAATAGCATTGCACATGAAATGAAACCAGTTTTTAAAGATCTTAGAGAGAGTCATTTGCTTGTTTCTGTATTTCTGGTTAAATTTACTAATAAAAGTTTTGGCAAAAAACCTGAAAGAAACCTGTCTGATACAAAAATAGTACACATAATTTGAATTACATTTTGTAGCCATATGACATACATCTCAATGCGCAAAAAATTAGGGTCAAGCAGAATACTTTCAGTGTTCCCCAAAAGCAAAGACCGGTTATTATCTACCAAACAATGATGGCACGACTCCATTGACTTTAAAATATTTTATAAGAAATTATCTTCGGATTTTGATGCGAAAATGCAATGCAATAGTATCAGTGTACAGTCAAACGTTACATAAGGACTCAATGCTTAAAACATATATCGGGTCTGTAATTCTTAGCCATTTTCTAGCATTTTTCTTAAAAGTCTCAATTTTACAGCGTACTAATTTCTCTTTTATTTGTAGCCCCTCAGAAATATATAAAATAATAATATGCAACATTTGATGTATATTTTTTATCAAAAGTGATAAGAATTTTCAAAAACCGAGACAGCATCCTGGAAACAATCCATATCGCTTTGTCGCGAAGACTTTCGATACCACACCTTAGCCTGTTGCGTTGAGCGTTTGCTCAAGCAAAATAAAATCCCAAACGTCCTTTGAATTGGTTATTGTTCCGCTCTGCTTGACGTTAAGCTTTAAATTGATAGCGGTAAGGACTTGTTTTCACGTTGTCTTATTTATTCCTGGATGGAACTGTGGATAGTGAACTCGGCATGGTGTTTAACCCAGGTAGCACTCTTACGTCGGCATCAGACTCGTACTATTCCAAGTAGCCACGGTCATCTAGAGGGAGGACGCTGGATTCGTGACCAAAGGGTTGCTGATTCGAGTCGCGTCGCGGCACTGTGTTGTATCTTTGAGCAAGATACTTTACTCCGCTTGCTCCAGTCTAATCAGCTGTAAATGAGTACGTGGTAGGGTAGTGCTGGAATTGTTGAATGCTAGCTGTAAGCGCCGAAATGGCAGTACCGGCTGTGTGCTGCCCAGGGAGTTGAGAAAGATATTGACTGGTTGCAAAGGCCTTATACCCACGGTTAATAATTTGTGAACCGGTTTGAGACGACCTACTAACTAGGTTGTTGATGAAGCGGTGTATAAGAACCAGGACTTATTATCGATTACTATTATTATTATTAAGGAAGAAAATATACACCAACAAACCGTCTCCAGCAAAAAAGCACTGAAATAGCCTTCGTTTTGTTAGAACGCTTAACAAATAAACCAAGACTTTCAGTGTGTACATTTCTGAACTCATTTGCCCAATGGGTCTTCTGGTAGAACGAGATAAAAGACCTAAATTAAGCAGGACGATTGACCTACATTTCGACCGGAACCGGAAATACAGGTGTTAATTAAGTATACATTATTATATGTTTTATTTAAATGGATGATAATGGAGCGTTCTCGTTCTGTTTCAGTGGTGTTTCCAAAGCTCCTGTATTGCAAACTCCTCGGCGCCAGTCGTCAGTGGTATGTATACCTATATTCTTTTGTAGTAACCTCCCTTTCTTAAACATCTTTAGTTCGGAGTTGTAGAGGTATTTCTGTATATTATGGCAACAGTTCTTGTGTGATATTTAAATGGGATCACGGTGGCTAAGTGGTTAATGCATCTGCTATGACCGCCTTATGATAAATCGCGAGTTAGAATCCTACCTGGGAAATACGCTATCTATTTGTGCACTATGAAGGTCAATGTTTTTTTCATTGTGTTTATTAGTGTGCCTTGTGGTTGTTACGTCATTGCCAGTTTCTCAATGAGAATTTTCAAAAACCGTGACAGCATCCTGGAAAACCAATCCATATCAGCACTTTTATATCATATTTTGATTAAAGAGCTCATCGTGAAAAAGCTTAACAGAAGCATGTTTCAAATGAAACTTGTAGTCAATTCACTCAAAGGTGAGAGAAGATATTCTCACTGCTCTTTTTATCGGTTTAGGTTGCGCAATCATTCACCCTTGTCTCAATAACAAATGTAACTGCTGTTCAAATTTTTGTCACAGTGATATCTGCCAACAATAAAAATAACGTTGTCATTTTCATTTCGTAAACAATATATTTTTTACCAAGACATTGGTCGTGTCCTTGTGCTTATCGTAAATGCATGTTTCTAAGTTATTTTTTGTTATTTGAATGTGTTTGTCCCCCTCGAATGACTCCACGAGAATACAAATAACGCAAATAAGAACTGCCAGTATCGTTTGGATCTTTAACACTTTCCAAGCGATTGCTGCTTCACTTGGTTACGGCCTATATTATATATCAGGCTTTTCGGACTTTGACCTTTTATAAATTTCACCGAACAGGTTCAGGAACTTATTGTTTTAGGTTTTATGATTATCCTTCTTCTTCTTCTTCTCCTTCTTCTTCTCTTAGATGTTTAGGCGTTTGATTTTCCAGTCGGTCATCACACATTGTTTTTACTAGGAATTTTGTCCCTTTCCTTCTTTTCTAATCATTATGTCGAGCTGACCATTGAACTTTCAGATACGTGTCCCTATGGTGACAATCCCGGCATTGTGTACACAGATGGCTCCAATACCTACACTTGTGCTACGCTGTTCCAGGCTTTCAATAAAGGCCTTAATTGTCCTAGCTTCCTAACGCGTTGCTGTGCGACATGCGAGGCTGTTTATACGTCAATACCTGGTAAGTAGTGT